GGGGCTGTTTTTTCTCGAGCTCAACATTAAATAAGAGGGACCCAAAAATATATTGAAAATGCACTCTTAAGACATGGCACATGCCGTATTTCAAACAAATGCCAAGCATATTTCAAAAAAATGCGGCTGAAGATCTCCAAAATATCAAAAGCTATTTCAGTAAAGGGTTTTGCTTACTTTAGACATTCATGCAACTTCTAAAAAGTTGAATCTCTTCCAAGTATTTTAACTCAATTGCATGGACAAACTCACCAGCACAGGAAGGTGCAAACAACCCCATGGTCCACATCTCTGCAGTCTTCCCAGGAGGACTCCCCAAATCCAGCTGTGTGGGACATCAGGCTTCCTCAGGACCTACTGCCCTGAAACGTCTTTGCTGTAAGCTGGGCTTTGCTTCCAGCCTCTCAACTGGTTCTGATGCTCATCATCATCTCCTCACTTCCTTTTACTTTCCAGTAAACTTGAAGTTATCCAAGTCAGGAACCAACCTTCTTGTCTTGCACTTCCACGGCTTGCAGCTCGCAATACCTATATCCTACAGCAGTGCTCAAACTCAATGATTACCAGCTGACCTTCAACAGTAGGACATGTATTGGTGTGGCTCTACTCTGTCTACATGCAGGGAAGAGGTTTCTGATGGGGCGTTAGAGCTCAGTCCCTTCTCCATCATTCCCATGGCACCCTGCCATACACCTCCATCAAGCTCCAGCTTCAGCCCACCATGACGGGATACAGCTCATTATTTTAGGGAAGGCTTTAAGGCACAGTCTTGCAGCTGACTCTTCCAGACCATGTCTAGATATCCTCAGAAATCTTTAGAGCAAACCATGGAGGTGTGCGTTAACACATGCACATCGCTCACATCTCAGCCACAACAGACCACAAATACTGAACAAGACCCGATACACACTATATCATTTGACCTTTGACTATGACAGAGCCAAAGCAAGGTGATTCCAGCCCATAAATATTCCTGCAGACTAAAGAAGCTCAGACCTCAAACCTTGAAGGTAAGCGTACAACAGCATCGAATCACCCCAGCTGTTTCACCTTAGACAGGAGGGAGGTGTTGACACTGAAGTGATGCTTCACAATTCAGGCAATCTGTGTTCAATTGCCAGGCTTGCATAAACTCTGTAATGCGGTATTGTGTATCTAGGAGAATTAAAGACAAGGCACAGTCATCTCACCTGCCTCCAAAGCATCCTAGTCCTGCAAAATGCATAGGAAGGACTCTTGGTTTAATGGGGTGTTATTCTGCTTCAGTATAGCACAGCAAGAAAAGGACTTGCATCATTTTAATTTTTAACCTTCAAGTAGATTAAAAAAAAAAACCAAAACAAAACCACAGATGTAAAAAGATACAATTATAATCAAGGTGGCAAGAAACTGGTGCCGCGTTTATCATTGGAACAGTTTGGGCGTTATCCTGAACCAGTTCATACCACTGATCAAGGCATTTCTTTGCATCAGCCTGCTGCAGTAGGCAGACAAAACATAGCTGCACCGTGTGCATAAATTGTGTTTAGATACATAAATCTTAGCAAAGTGGCTTCTTATTTTGAGGCAAAACCAGAAAGAATTATACGTTGCATTAAATATTTTCTTCTCTGCCCTCTTCTCAACTGTCTGAAAGATCAATTAAAGTGCTTTTGCCTAAAACAGGCAAAGAGAAGCACTTTCCAAAAATAAATAAATAAATAATGAATCCACTCTTTGCTTTTAATATGATCTCTAAAGAAAACAAGCATAACGACTTAAAGATTCCCACAGTGAAAAAGAAGAAAATGCACAAGGTTTAATCATCCACTTATGAGGTAACGAAGTAGATTTCTCAAGTTTTACGTCTCCTGCAAAATTTTAAGCACTCATACACAAATATTAGTAACATGCTGCAGCAAGCTGAATAGTTTCCCCTGCCCTCGCACAGGAATATGTGCAAGTCCCTCCCTTGCACTCACATACACACATTTGCTGTTTCCATCACTTTTCTATTTGCAAAGAGATTGAAATGGAACTCCAAGCAATCGTGCCATTGATTTTAACGCCTTCCTACCTTTATGAAGGTCTTGCTGTCCTGCATATCAGCAATCTCTCTGTCCAACACTGCAATGTCTGGAAGCATCAGCGCGAGCTCTCTGCACACTGACCAGTAATGTGACTTACGGCCAAAAGCCTCAGCACTGTGAGAGCATCACTGAATTCAACTGGTCTCCCAGTTACCAACCATAATGGGAACTGGAGGAAAAGGGAGAGAGATCATCCCACCAAGCAAACTCAAGACCTACTTTCTTCTCCCTCAGACTGCCCCGTATCATGTCTTTGCAAGGCAAGGGAGGAACTATTCCCATCAAAAACCCATCTTCTTTGTTTCTAAGGAAGAAATTTTCTGCGCTGAGGGTGGTGAAACACTGGCACAGGTTGCCCAGAGAGGTGGTGGATGCCCCATCCCTGGAAACATTCCAGGTCAGGTTGGACGGGGCTCTGAGCAACCTGATCTAGTTCAAGATGTCCCTGCCCTCGGCAAGGGGGTTGGACTAGATGACCTTTAGAGGTCCCTTCCAACCCAAACCATTCTATGATTCTTAGCTCTCCAGAGAGCAGCAAACCATTATACCATCATGTCAAGATGAACCCGGAGGACCTTTCCAAGGCTGTGTTGTTGGACAGCAATTTGGTGGAATTGTGTCTCCTCCTTCCCACAGCATCACTGAAGCACTCGAGTGCCCTTCTATTTTGCCCAACCCAGCCCATTGGGCTGACTTCCAGCAACGCAGTCTGGAAAGGAAATCTCAGCTCCAGGCAAAGCTGTCATAGGGGACAATAGTCATCATCACACCCAAATGCAAAAGAGCTGATAGGAGAGAGAAACCACTGCCTTACTCAATTGAAACAGGAGGAAAATAACTTGCAATATTTAAGCTTGCTTTAAGATACTAACTTTTGCTAAAAAAAAAAAAAAAATTATAATTTGAAACAATACAAAAAGAGAGAAATTATCTTGAAAAATTTAAAAAAAAAAAAAAACCACAACCAAAAAAAACCCAAAACAAACAAAAAAAAAAACGCAACAAATGAAAACAAAAGCTAAGAGGCAAATAATTCATTTAGGCAATATGCAGTGCCCATACTCTACCTGAATCATTTAAGTTGAAGGTTCGGACTTTAATCAGAACCACCATAAAAAGAAAAGCAAGGGTCAGAAGTACAACATTTATCTTGAGTAAACGAAACAGGTTTCTCAGTAAGGCATTTTCATTTAAAAGAGGAAAAAAATACGTTGCAGTTTGTCAACTGACCAGTAAGGGGAGTCGGTGCCTAGAGCTTTGAGTCAACCACGCATATGCAGTTTTGGGGGGAGAAAACTCAAATAAACAATTCTGAGGTAGTGACATTGAGAAAACATTGACGACTGCCAGAAGATGCTGGAGGAAGATGGACAGAGAGCACCGTGTCCAGAAAACCCACTAACCTGAAAGGGAGAGGGTTTGTGAGATACTACAGTAGGAAAAAAAAGTCATATTTTTGCTTGGAAACGGGTCTTTCTCTCCCTGCAAGGTATAATGGAAAGCACGTGATGGAGAGCACTTGGAAGGAGAAAGGCAAAGGACAAATGAAATCGAGTTAAGATGGAGCTTAGGATAAAAAATAAGGGCTAAATCTCAATGCACTTCTGGGTATGATACTCTGATGGTACCATGTTTCCCAGAAAAGACCTGGGCCAACTCCTCTGGTGGCCTTGAGGAGACATCTAGGAGGGTACCAGATGCCTGGAATAAGACTTCAGAAGACAAGGGCTAATCAGACTCCTCACCACTGGGCCCCAGCACTAGAAACAAACAGGGAAAAAATAAAAAAAAGATTTATTAAAAAAAAAAAAGCTCAAAATCTGAGTGGGATTTAATAATATTATACAGTATCTAAAGAAAAATGCCAGCAGTAGGAACTCATTAAGCATTGTATGGGGAATAGCAGCAAAATCACTCCTGCGTCTATAGCCATGCTGGGCTCATCAACAGAAACGGGGCTGCCACGGGCTCCAGGGCCATGGGGAGGAGCACTCAAACGCTTACCTTCCTCTTTCCTCTTAATCTCATTAACCTCCTATTTACTCTGTTGTTACTCAGGATGTTAATAGGCATACTTTTTGCATATTATTTACTGAATGTTACAAATCTGTTTCGGTTCTATACGAAACGGGGCTGGAACATGCCAATTCTCCCCATGCTACAGAAAATAGAGAAATAAAATCCTTTTTAAGGACTTGTTTCAATGATCGTGATTTCTTGAATAAGAATTAAGGGCAAGATAACCAACTGATTCATAAAAATATATAAAACCCTTTTTTCTAATTCTAGAGTACTTTCTAAAGTATTCTATGAAGAAAGAACAGACACACAAACCAAAAATACCCAAGAAAAGACTTATTTCCCACTATTAAGCTGGAGTACATGAAACCACTATTCTAGCCACGATCCGAATTATCGTAACGGTATTCCAGGTGGGAAAAACAGATGTAGTTTAACAAAGTTGCCGATAAAAAACTCTAAAGGTTTTACAAATACAGTCCATTACGCCTTGAAAAATGAAACCTTCACTGATCATCTGTTCCTAGCAGAGAGTGCCCATTAACACTCACTTCAACCAGAAAGCCCAACTCAAAGTCAATGCATTGCGAGTGTGGACCATCCCAGAGCTTAATGAATCAGCCAAGTTAGGCAAGATCAGCTGTCAGGGGAAGAATTTGGACGGAGATTGCCCAATAGTAACCAGTTAAAACAAGGAAACCACCGCAAGAGTGGAAGACACTGTCCAGAGGTGAACATCTGCAAGCGTTGAGCCCACAATGTTCCTGCACACCCACTCCAGAGGCTGGGTCCACAAAGCGTAGCATCACCTCCAACGAGTTGAAGGGATATGGAGAAAAACAACCAAAACAAAAGAAAGAACCTGAAACAGGAAGGATTATCAAAAAAAGAAAACAGCAAAAAATATCTCACCCACAATTTTATCCCCTCACGTGGTGGAGCCACTTGTTCGGCACTAGGCAGCAATAGCCCAATGGACCCAAGGCCCGTCTCAGCAGTATCGTCTCTGTTCAGGGAAGAGGGAAAAAAAAAAATGAAAATCAGAAGTGAAAAGTTCATACAGGTTTTTATCTGCTCTGTTTCCCCCAGTCTGAAGTGCAGGCATTCCCAAGACTGAGGTTTTAGCTGTATCTTTAGATTCAACTGCCTTTGGGAGTTTTCACATCCTGTGAATTTGTTAAAGAAAAATATATATATTAGGCAAGCTTTGCTTTTGGCCTACACAATATCTCTTGACAATGTAACACACGCATAAAAAAAAAAAAAACAACCCACTCCTTCCCTTTGATTTCAGGGTCCAAACATTAGGGCATGCCCAGTGAAATACAGCAAGTAATTTTCATTTTCTGCAATTTGTGATTTCACACAACTGTCATTTCCCCCTGCTTAGTGGTCTCATATTTTATATTCAGTCTTAGCCAGTTAAACAGGATCTGTCGGCATTTTTCCTACAAAAAGAAAGCCCATGCAACTAAAGGGATTGCTGAGCTAGAAGCATGCAACTGGGACAATCAAACGGACCCAGCACTGGAAGAGGTCTCAGCACAGAAGAGCAAAACCTTCACTAGGATGGCGTAACACAAAGCTGCACAGAGAATCCATGCCTTTGTAACAGCAGCCAATCTGTTATAAAGCAAAGTTAGCAGAAGACTGAAAAAACATTATGGTATCTTTATAATTTATTTTGAACTAAAAATATATATAGAGAGGAAAAATTAAATTACTACTTTGGGGAAGATGATTCATACGAGAGTGCATGTGCACATGGATGTCTCTTGTACAAGAGACAAGAAATAACATATCCATATAGCCAGCTATACAGCTGCAGATTTTAGAAGAGCATCCGTAAAGATCCGATAGCTCAGATACATCACTAACTAGCATCTCCAGAGTTACTAAACCCCTTTTTTCCTCACACACTTTAGTGACTGATCTTTTTTTTTTGGTCCCAAATCTGGAAACTAATGCTTCAGAAGGAATTTAACATGCTTTTAATGCAGTTTCTTATGCTTAAAAAAAAAAAACAAGAGAAAGAATGGCTTAGGCAACTCAGGTAGAGGCACTTTTACGCTCTATAAAGTTAAGGACATGGAAGTAGTATTCCCTTTATACAGTAATTATACCTCAAAGAAAGTGTTTTAATCAAACTGCTGAAAATTTTGGCTAGTTGGTTTCTTTTAAGCAGGAGGAGTATCATCATGAAAGACTCCGCCTTGCAGACATCATCAAAGCCTTCTTATCCCTCCTTCTGATGGGATGGTGGAGAAAGTCAAATGACATAGGATGACGCTGGAGTCGGAGAGCAGCAAAGGATGCTGAAGGACCTCCTGCCCCGAGTTTTCATACCCTGAGAAGAACCACACAATTACCTTTTCCTCTGCTTTGATGAACACAATCTATTTCAAGATCCTCAAAACCCAACAGCAGAAGCTCCAACACATGAAAAAAAAAACCATTAAGAGCTTTTAGGTTGAAGTACAGTAGCCGGCGCCAGCTTTCAGAGACAGGGTAAATAAGACCGACCTTTAAAATTTAAGATGTTGCTCAGCACCATGTCATGATACATCACACAACACTTCTTCCTCGTTATTTCTCTGGCCAAAGGTCAAAATTCATCTTCCCAAGAGACAAGCTCTCTTCCTATAGAGAGCAATGAAACTCCCACATCCAACTACCTCAGGAACAATCCACGTCTCCACCCTGGAGACCTTCCAAGCATCAAGACCTGCTGCAATTTATCAAGAGGCAGCCTCCCCTCTTCATAATCACCGTACAGTGACACAAGAAGCGCGTGCATTGTCACCACAGAGATGTAGGATCCCTTGTACAAATCCTATTCCTCCTGTAACACATCTAAGGAGGCATCGATATGAAGTACCACTGTCTACTGGTTCACATCCACACGTTGGCAACTAAATAGGAAGTCTATGTATCAACATTCAACAGTCTTGGGAGTGTTTTTTCTGGGTTTTGTGGGTTTGTTTTGGTTTTTTTTGAAATCCATTAGAAAAATGTAAAAGCAGAGGTAACTGCTGGGTGTACAGCTAAAATATGCACCAACCTGCTCTAGTGCCAGGACTGCATTTTCCCCTTCTCTGATGCACGCCACATCTCAGCGCATTCGGAGGTCCCACCAAGGGCAAGCAGCAGAGGAGCCCTCCAGCCCTGCCATCACGTCCCTGGAAAAGTCACTCCTTGACCACTGGTATCGCTTCCCATGTGCTACCAAGTTCCCATAATTCATAAAAAGAGCAAAACTGAATGAGTTATAGAGAGCAATGCTGACAGCTACAGTTAACTATTTTCATCTGATCGATTACTCCTTCCATTTGTAAAAAATAACCCTCATATTCGTGTGATTCAGTGCAACTTAAGGTGGGGGAAAAAAGTCAGGAATGTTGCCTCTAGCAATCTCACGTGGAGCAATCCAGCTCCAAATGAAAACAGCATCATTTGTCCAGCACACAGAGTCCAGCACTGAAATGTCAGGACGCTCACAGCTCCTAAGGTCAGAGTTTCAATCACCTTCATGTAGCCTTGGGTCAAGTGGTTTTAAACTGCCTCTGCAAACAAAACCAGTAAACATTTTAATTATTCAGAACCAGCTAAGCCACAACACATCCCATCCTGCCAAGCAGGGATTCAGGTCTTAAGCGTGGAGACCTGGTGGCCCAGTTTTACAAAAGTATCAATATTATAGAATCATAGAATCACAGAATCATTTACGTTGGAAAAGATCTTAAGATCATCAAGTCAAACCGTGAACCTAACACTGCCAAGTCCACCACTTAATCATGTACCTAAGCACCTTGTCTACATGTGTTTTAAATACCTCCAGGAATGGTGACTCAACCACTTCCCTGGGCAGCCTGGTTCAATGCTTGACAACCCTTTCGGTGAAGAGATTTTTCCTAATATCCAATCTAAACCTCCCCTGCTGCAACTTGAGGCCATTTCCTCTTGTCCTATCGCTTGCTACCTGGGAAAAGAGACCAACACCCACCTCGCTACAACCTCCTTTCAGGTAGTTGTAGAGAGCATTAAGGTCTCCCCTCAGCCTCCTTTTCTCCAGGCTAAACAACCCCTGTTCCCTCAGCCGCTCCTCAGAAGACTTGTGCTCTAGACCTTCACCGGCTTCCTTGCCCTTCTCTGGACACGCTCCAGCACCTCCATGTCTTGTAGTTAGGGCCCCAAAACTGAACACAGTATTCGAGGTGCGGCCTCACCAGTGCCAAGTACAGGGGCACGATCACTTCCCTACTCCTGCTGGCCACACTAGTTCTGATACAGGCCAGGATGCCATTGGCCTTCTTGGCCACCTGGGCACACTGCCGGCTCATGTTCAGTCGGCTGTCGACCAACACCCCCAGGTCCTTTTCCACCCGGCAGCTTTCCAGCCACTCTTCCCCAAGCCTGTAGCGCTGCATGGGGTCGTTGCGGCC